AATTTGTGCCAGGCTGTTTTCCAAGCCTCTTATTCCTGTGCTAGCTACCTACGTCAGTGGATTGTAGTTGCAAGTGATCCCTGTTTGTTATTAGAATGCATTTCAATCTGGAAGAACAAATTCTAAACAGCTCCAGTGGTTGCCTTTATTTTTGTGCTTCTATTCATCCATGGACTGCCTCACCAGCGTTAATCATCACCAATTAGAGTCGGGTGTTAAATGCAGTATATTTTCAAAGGGAGTTAAAAATAGACCTACATGAAGAATAATGAACTGCAGCATTGAGTTAAGATTTTATAATCTGATTACATGAGATATCAATTTCCCTTCCCCACCTCCCCCTCCCCCACGGCCCTCCCCACCCCACCCCATAACACAGGTAATTGTACATCTAATGAATTGCAGTGTTGAAATTATGTACGATAATACATTTTTATATTAAGGTAAGTTGTCTCACTTGGGTTGATTGGGTTTAATTTGATATCGTCATGTCTGCCAGAATTGCCCAATAGAATGAAAAGCATGGCACTTTGGCAGGCCACATCCTTTCAACAGACCTTGCACACTACACTGCTGTAGACTTTCCTGCAGCATATTAATAGTCTGTGAGAATAGCCACAAGTGAAACTGGTACTTCAAGCATGAAATAAATAATGTTTTACACTGTAGAGACATCAATAATGCAAACCAATTTCAAACTGAATCATCAATATACGCCCACAAAGTATACAGTCAATTCACTTTACAGTATATTCTGTGACGTGCTTTGAGACATCTCAATGATGTGATAAGGCGCTGTATCAAATGCTAGGATTACTTATTATTATCATTGGTTATTGAAGTTTAAGCAAATTCAAAAGGCAATTAGGTAGCTGTTCGTGGAATAAATCAATATAAGGGTTATGAGACACAGTTGCTTATGCTTTTGTTTTACTTTGGAATGGAAGAAATGGCAGCCAATTTGCACACAGCAATGTCCTACATACAGCCTTGAAGTGAATGACTACGTGTGGGGATTGTTAGTCAGGATACAGGGATCAACTGTCTTTTCTTTCCAAATAATGCCATGGAATTTACATAGATTTACATAGACTGTACAGCATGGAAAGAGATCATTCTGCTCAACCAGTCTGTGAAGGTGTTTATACTATGCATGAGTCAACCCACTCCTTACCTCCTCCCTACTCTTTCCATTGCTCTGCTACATTTTTTTTTAGTGTGGCAACCAGAATTAGACGCAAAATGTGTTCTAACCCAGGCTTTATATAAATTCACATTGCCTTCTCACTTATTCCTCTGGATTTAAAGCCCAGGATCCCAGTGGCATTATTTTGGGCCTTAATCTACCTATTTTGTTACTTTCGGAGATTTGTGGATCTGATTCCCCAGATCTCTTTGCCCAGCCACGCCTCTTAGGTTTCTTACATATAGGCTATAGGTGGCATCATTATTGGGATCTTTAATGTCCACCTGAACAGGCACTGCACTGGATTGTCAGCTTTGACTGTGAGCGCCAAAGTCCAGAGGTGGATCTTAAACCTAAAAACCTTATGATTGAGTCACCTGCTACCAATTGAACCAGATTGATGCCGAACGACCCAGAAGTCAGCCATTTTGACTTCCAGATCACTAAAAATATCCGTCTCTATCAACATCACTTTGTGTGTACACACAGTAGATGACTCATTGCACAACATATCCAAACAAGATAAAAGAATCCTGGGTGATTTCGCCAAATTATTTGAGTAAAGATTGCCAGGCGGTATGCATGAGCTGAACAGTGCTCCAGTTAGGCCACACTCAACGCACGACTGTTTGTGGGACGCTGCTGTGCGCAATTGGCTGCCGCGTTTTGCCCACAAAATAATAATAATAATACTTGCATTTTGAAATAGCACTTTTCACGTCTTCTCCACGTCTCAAAGCGCTTCACAGAATAGACTGCAAAGTGAATTGACCATATATTTGTGGGCAAAATATACATATATGTGTAAAATATACAGACCATTCACCTCAGTATTTTCTGTGAATCGCTTTGGACGTCTCAAAGACGTGATAAGGCGCTATATCAAATGCAAGGGTTATTGTTATTTTTATCTCGAGCACTGCACAAATTCTGGTCACTGCAACATAAAGCAACACATTACCCAGGCTCTCGAGGCAGGACAGAGGAAAGCAATGTTCTCAGTCAACACAGTGCTGAGCTGTGTGCTAACAGCGAGATGAGATGAGTCTTTCAAAAGAGATGCCTCAGAAGGGATCTTATAGAAGGTGCTGAATGGAATAGAGAGAGTAAACCCAGAACAGTTTCAGATACACCAAGGCAACCAGACAAGAGTCCGAGTTCAGGTTTATGAAGAGTAATTTTTGGACCCAGACCAGAAAGTACATCTTTACACTCGAGGCTGTTATCTCCAATGAGTTTAGCAGGGAGTGTGTTGGAGGTTAGGGCACTGGACTTGATTCAGAAACTGCTTGACACTGTAAAAGCAAGGCAGTAGGGTGGCTCTTCTTTGTGGAAGGATAAGCTCAAATGGGCCGAAGGACATTTTCCATCTCCACTTCTGTGATTCAAAATTCTTCTGCTGTTAAATAAAAGTCACTGAATGTGTCCATCAGAGATTGCGAGGTTAACTACACACTCCGTACTCTCTGCAGTTTTCCAAACTCGTCCAATATGAAACTGTCTGTTGACAAAAGTTCAATGTGAGATGATCCATTGCTGTAGAATTAATGCCTAAAATAAAGATAACAGGTTTTTTTTGAATTGTGCGTTCAGCAGCATTGCCATAAAAGCTGTGGTAAATTGCAGTTGTAATCATGTTTTGCTCATATCACATGCTCCAGTTACAGTTAGTTCCTTTTTAAAAGCCAGTGGAAGTTTACAACGTTAGGAAAATCTGTCATAACTGCAATACTCAAGGAGGAACAGATAGCAGCAGTGGGTTCTTATTTTATTTCCCCCGTCTGCACATTTTGCAGCTTACTGCAGCTGACTGCTATTGCTCTGGTATGGAATGAGCATTAACATTCATTACAGAACTTGGTTTGCATTGTTCCTCGCTTCTGTGCTCTTCACTACAATAGAACGTAATCAAGTCCACATGAATTTCAGATGTAGGCAGGTTTTACAACAGTTACTAGTATTCATCCTTCATGCGGGATAGGGTCAGAGAGATTTAGACGGTTGGAAGGGGGGCGGGAAGTGAAAGAACTTTTACTGCAATTCTGTGACAGTTTTTCCACACAAAAAACAAGCATGTGCATGTATCGTATATATTTCACAGGAATTTTTGGTCTGTTTTTCTCTCTCTCTCTCTTTCTCTCACTTGTTCTCTCTGATGCTCTCTGTTGCTCGGACTCTCTTATCTCTTATTTTGTGTCTAATAGAATTGGTGTATAATGCGGTCAAAGATGAACAAGGGTAGAAGTCTAGAAATGGTGAACTTGCAGTCAGATTGACTTACCAAAGCTTGTCTAAAGCATGCTCTTTTATGTAGGCGATAAATGATTATTAAGGATATCGATTTTGTGTCTGTTTCTGTCCCAAGTGCCAAAATTGTCATAGTTTGGCAAATAATCGGTACAAATCCCCCCAAATCTAGAGTGTGTATCGGAGTTTTGCTGGAGTGTGACTGTGAGGAATGTCAGAGCCAAGCCCGATCTTCTTTCCACCACCCTTCCTCTTAAACACGATGATGGGTTTCCACATCTGTCAGACACGTGGCCGACCAAAATAAAATTCCCTGTGCTTGAATAGCCAGTCAACATTCATTGTTCAGTCCCAGATCTGAAGAATGGCCATTTGGAAGAAGATGAGTGGAACCTGTGGAACCAAACTCCAGCTTGAGTTGCTGCCTGCACGAGAAGGGGTTGGATAGAGAATTGGCGATTAACAGAAAGCTGGATAATCAGTGAAAGTGATGTTTTGTCAGATCTACTTGTGAATATATAATAATAATCCTTGCATTTGATATAGTGCCTTAGCACGTCTTTGAGATATCTTAAAGCCTTTATGGAATACATTGCAAAGTAAATTGACTGTATGTTGTGGGCGAATGGCCAGTATATCGAGACACTACTCTCTATAAGACCCTCTTGTGACTTCCGAGATTGTGGCCACACTATATGGCAACCACCGGGTAGTAAATATTTTAGAATGCAAAATGATTACTGCAGTTTCCCACCCTCTACCATTGCAGCATAAAAAGAAGGGAGTGAATAAGCTATGAATTGACCCCAAAATACAGTGTAAGCCGATTGTAACACAGTGGTCAGGATCCATAAAATCGCAACCAATGTCCTAAATTAGGTGGGATAAGCCGGTTAGGACTTCTGTATCATTGTGCACGCTGGCTGGCTTCCTGCACTAAAAACGTGGTCTATGTTTGGTCATCGGTTCACTGCTGATGTCCAGTCCTGGGGGCTGTGTTTGACCACTTTATTGATAAATATTAACAACACTTGGATTTGATATAGCGCCTCATCACATCATTGAGATGTCTCAAAGCGCTTCACAGAATGTACTGTGAAGTGGATTGACTGTATATTTTGTGGACGAAACGCAGCAGCCAATTGCGCACAGCAGCGTCCCACAAACAGTCGTGGATTGAGTGACAAAATATATATTTTTTTATTAACGCACAAGAAGCCGGAGGGTGTCTTGAAGTGAACTGGTCAACTTCTTGCGCCCTTTTTGATAAATAGATGTTGGGATTCACACCCCAATAAACAAACCCGCTTTGTAATGAAGCACATTCTAACATGGTTCCACTGTAACCCCCGTTTAAAGTTTGTCGATGGATTTTTCAAATTGAGCCACAAATCCTGAAACTTTTTTTTTCCAGTGTTTGGTTTGTAATTCGTTGCCAAATTATTCTATTTTTGGAAGCATCTGTAATATCAAAACTAGATTTGCAGCTTTATTTAGTGCAATGAATTAATATTTGGCTGGACTTATTGTCGGTTTGCCAATGCCTTTTTCCTCTTCTCTCCTCCAGCTCTGGCAATGGGGCTTTGTGTAGCCATGATTGCCTTTGTGCGATTACCAAGTCTTAAAGTTTCCTGCTTGTTGCTCTCTGGACTCCTCATTTATGACGTCTTCTGGGTAAGTAGCACCCAAACATTATGTGCAGATTTGCCGGATCATTATTATTATTATTATGTAGATTAATTAAACTGCATAAATACTCAGCATTATTTGCAGGTTCTAATCTTCATATGAAAATAGGTAAACAGGAATTGCAGGAGGCCATTCATCCCATCGAGCTTGTTCCAACCAGTTTATTGCATATACAACAACAACTTGCACTTATATAGTGCTCTCCACGCAGGGCAGCTTCTTAGAGCGCTTAATAATGGTGGAGCCAGGCGTGGGAACAGACCCTTCAGCCAAACCAGTCCTTGCTGGTGTTTATGATTCATATGAGCCTTTGCCCCTTCTATTCCCCTTTCCCTCGTGTATGCATCAAATCTCCTCTTAAATGCATTGATGTTTTTTGCTTCAGCCACAGCTTCACATAGTGAGTTCCTCATTGTTACTAACCTCTGTTGGAAGAGGTTCCTCTTAACTCTCTTCTACATCTGCTACTCTCGTGAGGTCCAATCTCGGTAGCTTTATCTCCTCATCCCTGGTAACATCCTTGTAAATCTACACTAATGTCTGAATCCTACAACAGCCTTTCTGTAATATGGCGACCAGAACTGCACACAGCACTCAAATGTGTAGTACATTACTCAGATACTCAGAGCTTTCCACACCTTTATAATACTCTGTGTGAAGAAGCGCTTCCTGATCTCGGTTATAACTGTCTTGGCTCTCATTTTAAGGCTAATGCCCCCATTGTAATGGAATCCCTCTACCAAAGGGAAGAATCATCCATTATCTAATCTGTCAATTCCTTTCATTATTTGAAATAAGTTAAATCAATTCACCCTTTAATTTCCCCTGCTGAGGAATATAACTTCAGTCTACAAAGCTTCTCATCATAACTTAAACCTCTTCAGCTCATGAATTACTGCAGTGCAGCATCGCTGAACGCCTCCAAAGACAGTGTTTTTATATTCCAACCCTCTTGTAATAAATGCCAGAATCCCATTTGCTTTATCAGCTACTTTCTTCACCTGTGAATTAGATTTCAGTGGTCTAATTTGTGTTTTTTCTTAACAATGTAGTTTAACTGTTTAAATATAACTACTCAATCCTTTTCCCAGCATGTATTTCTTTTTAAGCTTCCCTCAGTCAGAAAAATAGAATATTGTAATGCCTTTCGGGTAGTACATGTAAGCAATTAACTGCAGGCACACTATATATATATATACCCAAGTGTGTTAACTGATTTGGAAACCTTCAATCATCATTTCTATTTTCTATTTGCTTTCCATGGTTGTATTTGATCTAATAACTCACAGAACAAAGCCTGCATGTGTGTGTGTGTGTCCATCCACACGTGTGTGCATGGGAGTTTTGTCAGTGACTAATTTTGAGTCTAATTTGGAGCCAAAGGAGCCACCCCAGACCCCTGCCCACAGATTGATGTAAAATAATAATCTCTCAAGAAAAAAAACAATAATAAATTGGTCACTTCAATCCACGACTGTTTGTGGGACGCTGCTGTGCGCAATTGGCTGCGGCGTTTCGCCCACAAATATACAGTCAATTCACTTTACAATATATTCTGTGAAGCACTTTGAGACGTCTAGAAGACGTGAAAAGCGCTATATCAAAATGCAAGGATTATTATTATCATTGAAATATTCTGGAATGTGTTTCCCCAGCCAACAACACTCTCCCTGGCCAAGATTAGCTTCCTCCACACGTACCAGAGATTAAACACAAGATCTCTATATTCTGTATGGCTCATTACCACACTTCTCAGGGCATTTCTCCACTGAATCGTTTTGGAAGAGCTTTCGTTAACCAATTTAACCAACCTTGAAGTAGGCTGTTGTAAAGCAGTTTGGTGAATGGTTAACAAATGATCTGTTAGTTTCAAAAGGAACCTGAATCTGTAAAGAATGCTTGAACAAAGCCTCCTTTGGTATTATAATTTACTACGCTGATTTAACTCCTTCACTGAATATTGGTTTTTGGTGCACTTGCTCAGTGATCCCAATACATGCATCACCTGTGCTTTTCAGAAATAATTTTTCGTTGTGAGTAATTACTGTTTTCAACATCATTAGGTCCTGCTTTTTAATTTGTAGTAATACTAATAATCCGTGCATTTTATATAGCGCCTTATCACGTCTTCGAGACGTCTCAAAGCGCTTCACAGAATATACTGTAAAGTGAATTGACTGCATTTTGTAGGCGAAACGCGGCAGCCAATTTCTCACAGCAACACCTCACGAACAGTTTTAAGGGATTATTATCCCTGGAAAAGCAATTCCCCAATTGACCAACAAGCAGTTAATAACTAACATACTAACTATGCAACACTTTATAAGTTGCTTCAAATGACTTGAACAGCGCATATTTAAATTTGCACCGCTTAAAACTTTGATAAAGATCTTCACAAATGACTTGCTGTTTTTCTGGCCATTGTAACTTTATTTTACTTTGGTTAACCATTTTGTGAGCACCGCCTCTAGCTGCATTTGTTTTTTTTAAAAAAACTCTTTTTCAACCGAGTAGATTGATTCATTGCAACACTTGCGTTGTGCCCTCAACTTCAGAATCCCCAAAGTAGTTTCACAATGATCAGTCCTCAGCAACAAGTTTAGACTTGACGCAGCTCAGAAATGTCATTACACACTTAAAACCCCTTACACCTGCAGAACAGTTGGTGCAGGGTTGATAAGACATGCAAATATATGCTTTCGATTTCACACATCTCTCTTTATTTCAAACAGAGTTTGATGTAAAAGCTGCTGTTTTGCCTGGATTTGCCTGACTGTCTGCACATTCAGTGCAGTTATAATAATAATAATTGAGCTTATTTACATTTAGTTTATATTTTTTAAATAAAAATGATCAGTGTTTCAAATTATTTTAGGTATGTACCTTCTAGTTTATCTCTTGCTTTGAGCATTTCAGTTGACTGAAACAGCTGAAGGCATAGTATATTCTTCGAGACGTCTCTTCGAGACGTCTCAAAGCACTTCGCAGAATACACTGTAAAGTGGTTGTTTTGTGGGCGGAACAATTGTGCACAGCGGTGACCCACAAACACTTAACACCTCTCTCTCCTCTTTCCCCCACCTCCTGTACATATACTCCGCGTCTTCAGGGGATCAACACTGTGGTTTGTGTGACTGTTTTAATTCTATTTTCATGCCCACTCTCCCTTCCTCTCTCTTTGCAGGTGTTCTTCTCTGCCTACATCTTCAACAGCAACGTAATGGTGAAGGTGGCCACTCAGCCTGCTGACAATCCTTTAGATGTGCTGTCGAGGAAACTTCACTTGGGACCCAATGTAGGACGGGATGTTCCTCGTTTGTCACTCCCAGGGAAGCTGGTGTTTCCAAGGTAATCATCGGTTGCTGATTAGTTAGTGGATTGTATTTTTTTGTGTCATCCAAACCCCACCACTGCAAAGCGATCCGAGACTGATTCTACATAAAGGGCGCTGTATGAACACAAGTTAAGCGTTCTGTTGATCAAGATCAAGTCAATGCGTGCGTTTCCACAACACTGATCTCCGAATCTAATTCTGTGATTCTTTCTTCTCCGCAACCTTCACACACCTTATAATTGGGCCCCCACCTGGGAATAAAGATTTCCCAATAAAGAAATCCCTTTGTCACTGTCATACGTGCCCAAGTGACACCCCAGCATTATTTTCTGTGGTCTGTTAAAGTCCTAGTATGCAGTTTTATGCAGAAGCACTAAAACGAGCCTTTTTAAACACATTCTCTATATCGAGGCACAGTTAATGCGGCATCCTTATCTGTGAAGAATTTTTTAAAAAAAATGTAGTGACTTAGGACTGCAGAGATAGCCTTTTCTTTGCAGCTTGCAAAACAGACTTGCCCTAGAGACTGAGAGAGAGAGAGAGTGTGTGAGAGACTGAGAGAGAGAGATAGTGTGCCCACAAAATACACAGTCGCTACACTTTACAGTATATTCTGGGAAGCGCTTTGAGGCATCTCAACGACGTCAAAGCAACACTCTTGTTTTGTGCAGTTCCACAGGCAGCCATTTTTCTATGCTCGGTATTGGGGACATCGTCATGCCAGGGCTCCTGCTGTGCTTTGTGCTTCGTTATGACAACTACAAGAAGCAGGCAAACAGCGAGGCCATCCCTCCCATCATCCTGGGCCGCATGCAGAAGGTGTCATACTTCCACTGCACCTTAATTGGCTACTTTATAGGTGAGTGGGAATAATTCAAACACAGCGATCAGAAACCCTGCACTGAACCCAGAAGCTTTCACAGCAGATTGGGATTGGCCTGCAGGCTTTAACACATCGCAACACCCTCAGCGGTCTGTGTGAATCTAAATACATGTTGCTAAATTAGATGTTAGGATTTGTTTTTAAAAAAAACACCAAAAACTCACATTGGCGTCCTCTGCTTTTCCCTAGATTCTTAAACATCTGATGGTTACTGTAGCCTTTTATTTAAATAGCCCCCGAACTTTTACTTCTCTAGATCACCCTGATAGGGTGGTCTTGTATACAATTGTATTTTAATTTTATCCTTGCAAAGTAATCTGCCTCTATTCTAGATGTGTTTTTTCCCGTCAGCTAACATTGTTCTGCTTTAATCTAGGCCTTTTGACTGCCACTGTAGCATCAAGAATTCACCGGGCCGCCCAGCCTGCACTTCTGTACCTTGTTCCGTTCACACTGCTACCACTGCTTACCATGGCATATTTAAAGGTGAGCAAAGCAGCAAAACCTAATCATCCCTCCAAGTAAATCAGTCGAATTTGGCCACTCAATCCACAACTGTTTGTGGGACACTGCTGTGCACATTTCGCCCTCAAAATGCAGTTAATCCACTTTGCGGTACGTTCTATGAAGAGCTTTGAGAATTCTTAACGTTTTGATCGTCCTGAAAACTTGTCCTCCCCGATATGTGAATATAAATGCAAGTTGTTGTTGCTTTCACTTGGGTGCCGGTGTCCTCCCAGGAGGCCTTAATTCTTCTTTGAATATTGACGACCACAGCAACTTGCATTGATATAGCGTCCTTCACGTGGGATGGTGTCTCAGAGCACTTAAGATATTCAACACTGGCAAGCTCTCACCTCAGGAGATGCGGAAGGTATCTTGTTTCTGTCCAAAGCTCTAGACTATGGGGGAGCAAAGTGCTGTTTGATGTTTGTGTCACGCTTTGTTTTCTGTGCTTTTTTCACTTTGATATGAAACCCTGATTATTGTCAGGCCAATTTGCATAGCATGGCTCCCAAGATTTGTCAATTCGAGCTCTCTCGCTTTCACACGGTCATGGTCATCCCAACTGAGATCAATAGATTTTTAAAATCTAAAGCGATTAAGGGATATGGGGATAGGGCTGGTAAATGGAATTAAGTTAGAAGATCAGCCATGGTCTTATTAAATGGCGGGGCAGGCTCGAAGGGCCTATTACTTATGTTCTCCTCCTATTTCTTATGTTTTTATGTTCTTATACAAACACTTGTAGCAGCCTCCTAACTGCAGCCCAATTAATAATCCTGCAAAACCCTGTTAGTTAATTGAAAAACGTCTCTCTCACAAAATGTTTATCAGCCTTGAATGTGTCCTCAAAGGAAAGTGTATTGATGCAAAACTCTTATTCTGCGTAAAGCAGTTCTTTCCCAGTGATGGTATCTGCGATCATGTATGTCATATGTTTGCATGGAATGTACAGCACTCATAAACAGACCATTTCTGGTCATTTAGCCCATAAATCCATACTGGTGCTTATACTTCTCATGAGTTTCCATCCACTGCTTACTCCCTCCTATATCCTTCCATTCCCTTTTCCCTTGTGTATATCCAGCTTCCTCTTAAATGCATCGAAATGCAAAAATACACAGTCAATTCACTCTACAGTATATTCTGTGAAACGCTTTGAGGCGTCTCAAAGACGTGATAAGGCGCTATATCGAATGCAAGGATTATTATTATTATTATTTCTCCAACAATGTTTTTCCTGGTGTCTCTGTAAGCCTCTCCCAGCCATTATGTCCTGACCACCAATCTTCACTTTGCACAGACAAATGGTTGACACATGGTAAATCATTTGATTTCTAGTGGTTCCAGCTTCCCAGTCTATTACAAAGACTGATAACAAAAGGACGTTACAGAGAATGCAGCCCATCCTTCAAAAGTGCCTTGCTTTGCAGAGAACAAAACTAAACCTGACTGCATATTGCTATCAGTGTAGTGTTAGAGAAAGGTTTGTTAGGATCGCATTAATCAGTTAGTATTAATAATAATAATCCGTGCATTTGATATAGCGCCTTATCACGTCATGGAGATGTCTCAAAGCGCTTCACAGAATATACTGTAAAGTGAATTGACTGTATAATTGTGAATGAAACTCTGCAGTCAATTGCACACAGTCGTGTCCCACAAACAGTCGTGGATTGAGTGACCAATTTATTATTATTTTTTAAAAATTTGAAGGAATTATTACCCCTGGATAATTAGTATATTAACTCCGTCTTTACAAGTAGCAGAGATTCTGCCCAAATGTGAAATATCCAGTCTCAAAAACAATTTCATTCACACATTTATAATGTAAGTGCCCTTTATTATTATTATTTGCCCTTTCTCTCACTGTAGGCCCTGATGCAGACTGATTTTGCTAATTATTTCTTAGAGGCTGTATTTTGGTTTTGTTTCAGTTTCAAAATGTTAAAAGAGCAGAGGTCATGAAAACTGTTCCCAGTGGAGATTGCCAGATACGGGCAGTTCATTATTCACAGTCGACAAGGCAGGACTTAATTTGAAAAATTAATACAAAGACAGTCAGTGGGTTACTCGCTCGTTCTGAGGTTATATAAAGTACTTTAGTAATTAAAAACTGCTCAAGATAAATCTCAGGGTTTATCTTTAGACATTTGACTGTTGAATAATTCTTAAAAGGAAGCTGCGATGAGACGAGGGTCGAAATAAAACGCTTATTTATATTTTTCCTCTTTTTTTTTACATTATATCGTCTTCGGCCACTCTCCCTGCCCTCTACCCTCCCTTATCCCGACCCCCAACTCGGGTCCAAATCCCTGACTATCCAGTGACTTGGGTTGTCCTTGCGACGTGAAAGGCGCTATAGAAACGTAATTTTGGATTGTATGATTTTTAAAAAAAAATATGATTCTTTACCAGGAAGGTTTGTGCAATTACCTTTTTGCTTCTCTTTCCCCCTCCTCCCAGGGTGACCTGCGACGTATGTGGTCGGAACCTTTTCACCCCAAGGCAAGCAGTTCCAGGTTCCTGGAGGTATGATGGGACAAAGTGCTGCTGAGGTCGGGATGATAACCTGCTGGGCACCAGGTGTTTTGTGTCTTGTGGTTTCATTCTTCTCATCAAGCACGAAAGGTGCTTAAAGAGGTAGCGAAAGGCAGTGGGGGAATTATTTCCTTTTTATGGAACACAGACCCTGTACAATTAATTCAACCCACCAACGGTTTTGGCGATTAGCAGCAGACTCTTGCCGGCCGTGTATATTATAAAACAGACGCCTCTTTTAAACAGCAAGACGTCAGGGCTAATCTTGTACATAGATCTGTGAACGTAGAAGACGCATCTTTGAATAAACCCGTATTAAGGAACCAGCACCTAAATCGGCCGCTATTTAGATTGTCTTGAACTTTGGCTCGAACGAGAAGACAAGGCGTCCGACATATCTTTTGAGACTCGATAATTATTGCTGTTCTTGTGAGGTGACAACATTTTTTTCCACAGCCGTGAGTGAGTATGCGGTAAGCTCTGTGCTGTAATTAACTTTACACCCGATGTATTGTTGCAGTGATCCAGAGAGGTAACGACATCAAGATGAATCATGTTGTGTACTGAAGTGGCCTGTTGTAAATTTTAGCATGTATAGCATTAAATATTGCTTCTGTATAAGACCCTTTTCCAAAATGCTCCCCTCCCCTCCCCGCCCCTCCCACCCCACCACCATAATAACGTGATTTAGAAATGTAAATGTAGTTTGCACTTGTACCTGTGTTAATTACCCCCCAGTTGATCTTGCACAATTATGATTGGTGTAGCAAAAAAAAAGGCTTAACTTTTTTATGGTTTCCCCTTTTAGTTATCTTTTTTTTCTTTTGGTTTGGTTAATTTTGCTAATGCATGTATGATAGCAGTACTTGTTATTTGATTGTAGTGCTTTATTCCTTGTAAATATTTTTTTTGTATACATTTGTTTAAATGTGTAACGTTTCCTCTATCTACCTGTTGATGAGTGTAATCTGGTCCCAGGTTTACAAGCAGTATCTGTTTTGTAACTTGGGTTTGTATTAGGTTCACAGAATTTTTTTTCTTCCTTCCGATAAGCATTGACTTACGCTGCTGATGTTAGCAGCCTTTAATATTACAGTGACACAAAAAGCCCAGTGTGTCTGTAGACTTCCCATCTTCATTGATTTTTGGGTGAACAAGACACCTACAGTCTCGCAACATAGAGATTGTGTCATAAATTGCAGGTGCCTGGAAGTGCATTTCGTATAAAATAACTAACTTTAAACAGTGTTTCAGGTTCTTCCCCCCCACCTGGCCAATCCCCCCCACCAGAGAAAATGTGAAGCCCTCGACATTTTGGAAGAATAATTTTTTTTTTGAATTCACGGAGTGTAATGTTTTTGTGCTGTAGAATAGACAAGTCGCCAAAGCCATTTTATAGACGTGGCTTTGGGGAGCTTGAAGCAATCAGATGGACTGAATGGATACTGTACAATCCTCTGTACACAAAGTAGTGTATTTTGGCCCTGGAAATGAACAATACCTTTCATCTCTATATAACATCAGCAGTCAGACTCCTTTGTAAATAAAATTAAAAGTTCAAGTGCATTTGTGTGGTTTATTTTACAGCGTGGCTGTCTGCTTACCATGGGCCTCTGAAGAAGCAGATTGTGTTATTTCTCAGGGGATTGATCAGAATAGAAAATCTTTTCAGTGTGTGGGATAAAAGAGAGGAAGATGGCTGGATATGTCTAAGGCCTGACGAATCAGTTGGATGAATGCTAGTAATGGTACTTACAGTGAAATCCCTGAACCCTTCTGTTCAGCAACCTCACAAATAGCAAACTTGAAATTCGCAGACACTGTTGATTGTGTTTCCTCTCTCCTCCCCCCACACCCCCCGCCCCCAAGTTGCCCCTGACTCAAATACTATAGTGTGGTTAGAGCACTTGCCTCGCAAGAGAGAGGAGCAGGGTTCAATTCCTGGGCAGGGCAAAACTCTACGCAAGTTTCCTTACTCCACACGCCTCTGTTCACTTAGCAGTAAGTAGGAACGCGGTTATTAGTCGATTGACGGGATGCTTTCCGGGGGTAATAATCCCCTTTTTAAAAAAAAATGTTTTTAAATGATAATAATCTGGTCACTCGATCCACGACTGGTTGCTGTGCACAATTGGCTGCCAATTGCTAATGCAAGGATTATTATTATTATACTGTTGTTGAGAATTTACTTTAGAAGTATAAAATAGCCATCTTCGAGGCAATCAGATTATTTCGGATTTTCTTTTTGGTCTTGACTCTATATTTACTTGGTATTCAGTCTATATTACAGGTTTAAAGAGCTCGCTCCTGACCACAAGTTACTTATGTGTGTTCTCCGGAAAGTGTAAGAATTGCCAGAGATCGATCGAATGGTGCGTATCCCTGCAGTAAAAATAGACATCTTGTTATCAGGCACTCTTCAGCAAAGTGCTACAGCTGACAGCAGTGCGAACATATGAGAGGATTGTTTCACAAGTGTCCACTAAAAGGCATTCAGTATCTCAATGTAATTGATTGTATAATAATAATAACAAAATGACATTTATAGAGCGCCTTTCACGTCAGGAGGACGTCCCAAAGCACTGAACAGTCATGTGTCGGGGCCCGAGCATGGGGGAGGGGTGGTGTAGGGGTGAGGGAAGGCAGAGAGGTGGGAGGGAAACCAAAGGCACGGTCGAAGAGAAGGGTCTTGAGGCCGACCTTGAAGGAGGTAAGGGAGGAAGCGAGGCGAAGGGACCGTGGGATGGAGTTCCAGAGTGTGGGGGCAGAGAGGCTGAAAGCCCGGCCACCGATGGTTGGGCGGGAGACGTGGAGCAGCCCGGAGTCTGATGAACGGAGGGAGAGGGCAGGTTGGTAGGGAGTCAGCAGGTCAGAGAGGTAAGAGGGGCAATGCCATGGATGGCCTTAAAGGTGAGGACAAGGATCTTGAACTCGATCCTCTGGGGGATGGGGAGCCAGTGGAGTTGGGCGAGGGTGGGAGTGGTGGGGTCACGGAGCCTGGTGCGCGAGAGTACACAAGCTACAGAGTTGTGGATGATCTGCAGTTTGTGAAGGGAAGAGTTGGGAAGGCCGATGAGGAGGGAGTTCCCATAATCGAGCCTTGAGGTGACGAATGCGTGGGTGAGGGTTTCAGCAGCCTACAGGGTGAGGCAGTGGCGGAGTCTGGCAATATTGTGGAGGAGGTGGTAGGCAGTGCCGGTCATGGCGCGGATGTGGGGGGAAAGGACAGTTCAGGGTCAAACAAGATACCCAGGTTCCTGACTGACTGAGTGAGATTGAGTGTGCAGCTGTGGATGCTGATGCTGCCAGCGTCTGAGGTCGGAGGCGCTGGCATGAGCCAATCAGAAGGGCCTCGGTCTTGCTGACGTTGAGTTGGAGAAAGTTGGCCCTCGTCCAGGACTTGATGTCGGACAGGCAGTCGGGCAGGACGCCAGTAGCCCTGGAGTTCAGGATGGAGGCAGAGAGAGTTGGGTGTCATCCGCATACCTGTGGAAATTTACCTCATGTCTGCGGATGATGTCACCAAGGGGGAGCGTGCAGAGGGTGAAGAGGAGGGGACCGAGGACAGAGCCCTGAGGAACACCGCACAAGACGGTGCGGGGGATGGAGGAGAAGCCGTTTGCCGTGACGAAGTGGAGGCGGTCTGAAAGGTAGGACCTGAACCAGTCAAAGACAGAACCTTGAAGGTTGAGGTGGGAGGAGAGGCGGTGGAGGAGGATTGAGTGATCCGGTGTCAAATGATTGTTGCATGTACGACGCCTTTCACGTAGGGAGAACATCCCAAAGAGATTTACAGGACCTACTGTAAAGTCTAGTCTTTGTGGGAGAGGGACAAGGCAAAGGACATTGTCTTGAACCACCAGCGTTCAAGTGGACAAAGGTTACAAGGGCCCCACATTGTACAAAACGTGCGTCTGCACTTGATGAAGATATTAACGTACAGGAACGCACCTGCCTAGTTTGGGGTTTAGCCCCCCATTCACCTTTTTATCTTTACTTAGAAATCTCAACTAGAAATGTTGACATTCCCCAGCAGATAAACCACTTCCTGGTCTGTGTGATACTCTTGTGACTGCAAGGTGTGGTTGAAGCAAACTGGTGTCCACATCTGACGTCACTGCCCGTCCACCAACTATGTCTTGGAGTTTGGCCTTAACGAGTTGTCAATCTCCACATCAGGTGAGCGATGACTGAAGAGGGTGAGACAGGAGATTATCAGCTTGAGGGGAGGGACTGACTGAAGAATGAGTAAAGGTTGATCGTTGCTTTGTAATCTTCTGCCAGGGCAATGTTTTTCTTGGTTATTTTTAGTTCAAATGTGTTTACAGAATGATTCTTTATATCCTAACAGGAATGTAAGGAAATCAAACGACTGTGTGGTAAGCAGTTCTCATAAATTGCTGTCGTTTTGGTGAAACTGGTAATTAATTACAGTGAGAATTGAAAATGCAGCATTTACTTTGAGGTTTACTGAGAGCATCCTGAATGTATCCTGGCATTTTTCTAATTAATCTAATCTGAATCTCCCTTTAGTACGTACTGTTAGTATTCACTGAGGGTAGGGATTCCTCCCACTTGGTTCCTGTAAACCCTGCAAGCCAAAGCCCGCATGGCTAGGTGGTCCTAGCTGGATAAGCAGTAAGATACTTGCCAGACAGTACCTTTAATGGCAAGCTGCACAGGCTTAGCTGGTTAGAGTCCAGCAGTTACACTCTTGTGATCCCCAAGCCTTGGCTCTTGCCAATCTGCGCCTAATACTTTCCATCAGGTAAGCCGGATGCAGTCCTCCAGGGAGCGAGAGCGCACTTCATTCCAAACACGGGAATCTCCCATGTGTATGTGGGATGCATGGAACTGTGCGGTTTGGGTACTTCTGAGCGTGGTGATGGGTTCCTGCATTGTGTCAGATTCCGCATGTGTCAGACTGACTAAATGAAAAGAAATCAGGAATGCAAAATTATTTTTAAAGAAAGGGATCTCTCATCCTCCCCCACAAAAGCAGCCCTTCAGTCAAATGCCAGCTGGGATGTCTTTCTGTCGTTTTAAATGTGAGACAAACATCTTTACGATGTAAAACTGCGCCTGATCAAACATTCCATATGTTCGTAAACCACTTGACGCTGCAAATGGGAGGATTATTATTCTGTAAGGAAGAGATGAGATGAAAGGGGGCCAAAGCAACTTCTTCATTGGACCCTCGTCTAATTCTCAGCATAAATCCTCTCTGTATCAATTTTATAATCGCCCAAGTCATACATCTGCCCCAATTCCATTCAAGAGTTTATATTCTATGCAGGTTTGACATAACTCATACCTTGCATAAGTCTTATTAAATGTAAGGTCCCCACTGATACAAAGTTTGTGAGGTTTAATGTAGAACTTTAATTAGTGCATATAAACAATTATAAGGGGCAGGATATATTTCTCCTTTTTCTGTTAGGGAGTGAATTTTGTTTTGTTTTCCATATATATAGGTATATATATATTAGTTACTTGATAAATGTCATGTAGTTTTTTGCAGCAATATTATCAGTGAAAGTTGGTGTACGGGCTATGTTGGTACAGTTTGTCACACACAACCATTGTTGGCTGTGTGTGTGTGTATAAGAGGTGGGGGAACAAGAAGAGAAATCGTGCACCAACAGGTTTTACTCAGCTCCGAGCTTTAACATTTCTCGTTCCTCAGTTCTATGTGTATAATGTGATTGATTTATTGCAGAGAAATGCATCGTGTAGCATTTCCAGTATTCATTAAGCTATTCATGCAGCGGATGTCACTGGAGTGAATGGACCGATCGAAATGCTCTAAGCCAACAGTTATCCAGCACAAATGAAACAAAAACCCATTTGTCTTGCAGTCGTTCACATCTGTCTTTATATTTGTCTTCAAACCGTTCCTTGTCAGCAATGGTACATAACTAGCAATGGCAAGTCATTGGGCTTTGCTCCTGGCCATTGATCCCAGTTCCTCGCTGGGGAGTTGTGGTTTACAGGGTAATGATGGTTTGTGAAAAATCTATACAGCAAATTGAACAACTTGTGTGCGCAAAGAGTAAACGGATCATTTATGTATTCATCGAAGTGGGCTTCAGTTTTCGTACATTTGCTTAATTTATATTGTATCCTCGAAAATGTTTCCAATTTCCCCCCCAAAAAAATGTCGTTGAAACACAGATTGCTAAAATGGTTTCTTTGCCCATTGGGCAAATGCTATAATAGTGTAGAGCTCAGTTTGCTGCTGTTTCTAACCAAGGTACGTTCCCAACCCGCAGCTTGACGTTTCGAATTGCTGCATTCTCGTTTCCTAAACTTATGTTCAAGATCACCTGTTTGTTCCAAACTGCTGCTGAAGGACAGTCAACTCCTTAAAACTCGTCGCTCTTAGGGGTAAAGGGCTCTGTGACGGGTTAGGCACATCTATAAATACATAAATAACCGTGGCCGGGATAGTGACAGCGTGATGATTTAAGTGGAGTTGACAAATTAAGACGGCATTGAGTTATCAGGAGTTTACTGTACATCACAGTAGAAATCGCTGAAATCTCGCACTGAGGGTTCCACATCCTAAGTAATCAGTTTTCTGTGAAGCGCTTTGAGACGCCTCGAAGATGTGTTAAGGCGCTATGTCAAATGGAAGGATTATTATGTTATTATAGTTGCACAAGGAGGATGTAAATAATAATCTTTGCATTTGATACAGTGCTGTTTTACATCAAAAAGTTTTGAAGCACTTGGTGGGAATTACTGTTCAATGTTGGTCGCTGTATAATTGTAGGCAGCTAATTTTGCACACAGCATTAACCCTAATCCCACAAACAGCCATGAAACGAATGATCAATTTAGCTGGAGGATTTGGTGGCCAGAACACAGGGAGAAACTCCCATCACTGTTCCTGAAGTGTCATGGGTTCTTTAACCTCCAACTTACGTCCCGACGTGAAAGGCGCTCTATAAATGAAATCTTGTTGTTGTTGTTGTTGTACGTAGACGAGACCTTGGTTTAACAACTCACCTGAAGCTTGGCACCTCCAACCCGCGCAGTGTTCCCTCAGCGTTGCACAGAAGTGTCGGCCTGAAAACACAAGTTCAAAGGCAGGGCCTGACGTTGGGAGTTGAATTCACAGCCTTCCGAGCCAAGCTGACATCTTGATGCATTTGTCCTTATAAACGTATCTGGTGAATGTTGTGTTTAAAGTGTGATAAGTGAACTAGGTGTAAAAGACGACCAAGTAAACACCACCGGCCTTAACCATCCAGAGCTTGTAGTTTACTTAGTCGCTTTAATGTGGACGAGCAATTGACTAAAGTTCCGTAATTCCATACTCTCAGAACTGAATCATTAACAATGTAAACAGATGCTTTGCCCTTCTGTTGCTGTTTGCAATATAATGACATGCAGCTGTAGTAATTACAATGTATAGATTCTTCCAGCTTTATACGTCAATATTCTCAGCAGACAGAATGCGTGCTCTGTACGCATTCCCTTTCAGTACGTGTACAGGGTGTGTTTGTAGCAAGAAATTAGTGATAAAATTGCAAATTAATGCTTTGCCATCCTTTCCCAGTGCTCTGCCTAGTGCTGGTACCTTTGTATTCCTCATGAAAGAACTAATGTGCATCCAGGAACCGTGCCACAGGGTGGTAGAGATGTAATCACGAGCATCCAGTGTGTCACTGCTTGGCTCCAGAGGTAAAAGCTTTCCTTCTCTCTATTGCTGACCATCCCACTGGCTATTACTGCAGTTGTGCTCCTAGCATCAAGCTAAACCTGGGTACAAATAGTTACCACTGCTGTTGTCATCGCTGAAATCATCAACATCATGATGGTGTGAAAATAAACCTGCCTCCAACTATTCCCAAATACCTAGGAATACATTAGAGGCAGTATAATGTCAATTCTACCCCCCACCCGCCTCCCAAAATCTGGAACTACCTCCTGTCAAGATGTCTTCAAGCCTTGCCTTAAGCATTTTGAGACGTCTCGAAGACGTGATAAGGCGCTATATCAATTGCAAGGCTTATTATTAAGACCGACCTATTGAATTGTGAATATAGTCCCCTCCTGTAAAGTGCTTAGAAATGTTCCTCTATATGATTGCTTTCTAAATGTAAGTTGTTCCAATTCCTTTGCCCCCATATTCCACAGAGTCTGTTCACAGCCTCTTAAGCAGTTTTGATACTTTGTACAATCAGAATTTCCGCCACTTATCCTTTCAAAAACAAATAGCCCATGTAACCTTTGAAGTTTTTTAAAGCTGGTCTTCCCAACTAATTCAATACTGTATAGTATTATTTCCATTTTCTGTTTGAGGTGGAATCACAAGACAAATGATGAATAATTCAGTTTCTGAGTAAATTTACCAAAATTCTGGCCTTCACTGGACTGAATGGTCATTGTTAAAGGGAGCAAAAAAAAACAAGACTTTTCACGGAGCATAAATTTTATATTAATAAAAGTAGAAAGCAAAGATCTGAATACATCGCATGCTAATAGATAGGATTTGAGCAACAGGTAATTACTCCAGAGCAATTTAACACTAATTGTGAGGAGGAAACATTATTTGTTCCATTGCGAGTAGTGGTCTAGACTGTGACTGTGGCAGGTTTTAGAAAGAAATATCAATGGTAACTACAAACTTTACTGAAGCTCTAGGCACAAGGGCTGGACTTTACAACTTATCTGCCTCTCCAGACAGGCTCATCTGAAACGCTTTGATGGACTGCAGCCCTCCCTGTCCTCTCTAGGTATTTCTCAAAGCCAGCTCTTACCCCCTTGTGTACTTCCCACTCTGGAGTCTACAGTCTTAACAACCGCAAAAAAAGTGAAGTGGTTCTTGTAGATTAGAACCCTTAATATTCTGCACCCAGGATAAGCTCCAACTAACTAACCAATTGAGCTCCCTATTATTGCAGTCCAGAGCGACGGGAACAGAGCCCTCTGTATTGCCCAGCACATAAGAAAGGATCAATGAGACAGGCACATTTTTTCACTGTAAATCAACCTTCATCACAATATCTGCATATAAGATTAAAAAGCTTCTGGTTCCTTCGTTTCTACACCAGTTCGATTTTTCCTGAAGAGCATTTTCATGCAACAATTCGGTTGCTTGACAATCTAACAAACGGGCTGTAAACAAAATCTGATTTGAGGTATTACAGTCATATCACAGATTAATTTAACTGGATTACAATTTCCATTTTGGTTGTATTGGACAGTCTTAATCGTTAAAAGGATTGTCCCAGTCAGGGATTATCACAGGTGTCTGTCTCTCTCTCAACCTTTATATCTTTTTAACAGTTGGTTGGCTATGACCAATCGCTGGATTTCACTGGTTCCCTCGTAGATCTCAGTGATCCGGGCATCTCGATAGTGCCTCTCTGCTGGCATATCAGTGACATACCCCATTCCTCCCAGGATCTGTATAGCCTGAACAACGGAGAACAAGGGTCAGGCAACAACAACAACTTGCATTTATATAGCGTCCTTCACCCCAGATGGCGTCTCGGAGCTTGAGTCAGGCAAAGCAGTGAATTTAGAAACTGGACGGCACATTGCACTTGCAAAGCCTAACATAGGAAACCAAAAAACTGCACACAACAATTTCCTTTCCCCACCACCCCCCTCCCTCACCACCACCCAAAACCACTTCTGGCGTGTGAAAATAACTGACGTAAATATGCCGTGAATGCAGAAATGCTCTTGTGGAAGAAAGAATAATAAGAGGGGAACCTCTTTAGCTCAACAGAGGAAAAGATCAGAAAGAAAAGTGGGGTGGGGGGGGCGGGGTGGGGTGGCTAAGGAAAGCAAAGCAGGGGCCAGAGCCACAGAGCTTGGTGGAGACACAGGCTTGAGCTGTGTTGAATAGGAAGTTGTGCTTTTTGCATTGCGCTGCAGCGACACAAAATGCCAAGGGAGAGAATTCCTCTGATGCCTCCTGGTGGCAGTTTACAGGGCAGCTGCTGGGCGCAGGTTTGGCTGTCACACCCTCCAGGCAGTAGGGCAGGCTTTTAGACAGAATAAGGGTAATAATAAATCATAATAAACCTTGCATTTGATACAGCGCCTTATCACGTCTTCGAGGCGTCTCAAAGCGCTTTACAGATTATACTGTAAATTGAAATGACTGTATATTTTGTGGGCAAAATGAGGAGGAAACTTAAATCTATAAAACAAATACAAAGTAAGCAGATCCCCAATCTCAGATAATATCATTTTGACTATTTGCTACAGGAATCCTAAGTCTCCTCTAAAAAGCAGAGAGCTGCCTCCACTGTTTTCCCTCAGTCTCCCACATCAGAACCACTATCTTGAAATTTTACGGAAACGCTACTTAGCGAGTGGTAAACGTGTGAAACAGGCTCTCGAGGGAGATGGTGGACGCAGAGAGAGTGGTTTGTTTTAAGAACAAATGAGATGGATTCCATCAGGGTCTCGATTTACTCTTATTTTCTGATCATTTCAGGGCGTGCCAAATTTGGCCAATTCTTGAATTCAACCTCAGCGTTCAGGCTGTTTTGTCGGCACAGTCGTTCTTAGGGAAAAATAAACTTACAGGAAACGGGCTTCGAAATGGAGACTGTTTAAGAATATCCTCAATTCTGACTGCTCTGAAACACAAATAGAATCAACCTCGAGCCGGGTGGAATCTCCCCTTTTATCACCGCTAACAAGCCAATCAGCCAAGTCACAATGACTGCGTCCAACTACATCCAGCTGTTTGTTAAATGGCTCAGAGTACTGCTATTCATCCAGTTGTGAATTAACCTTTGGTGTAAATACTTCCTGGTGTCTGTACCCCAAATCTCCCTTCACCACCTGTAAAACCTGTGCCCTCATGTCCTGGTGTATCTGACGGTACTGTTCAAGGATTGTTTTCTCATCCCATTGATCATCGGATCTAGTTCTGTGAGGTCTCCTCCCGAGAAGTCTCATCTCGAGGCTGAGAAGACGCAGCTCATTCGAGTCAAATTAGAAGCTTAAACGTGCATGAAGTTATCAACCTGGTGAAATTACCAGTTGTACCGACAAAGTAAACACTTACCAGGCAAAATAGATTAAACGTGACTTCTGTACAATTTAGTGCGAAGATTTGTCCTGAAAATCAAGACATCAGGTGGGAGGTGGAGGCTGTGACCTATTCATCGTGAAGCTTAGTCTAATGGCAGAAATTAATCTTTCACAAGTAATGAACAGACAGGTCTACTAATTGCATTTTGATGCCATTGTATTTCCAATTTACCTTTAACTTTTCATTCGATGTAACCGGCTAAACTAGATTGCTGCACCCACTGGGGTTGCTCCGGGTGTTGTTTTTACCTCGAGACGAATCTGAGTGTCTTTCGATGACTTCAAATGAATTGCGTCTTCTCTTCGGAAGCGAAGTGACATTATTTGTTTTTTCATCAGAGGCCAGGGTTTAGACGGGTTACCGTCAATGGCCCTTGTCTCATGTCACACTGTCCTACACGCAATATGAGCCCTCTTTCCACTGTTCCCCTCAATCCTACACTAGAATGTGAACACACCTAAAGCAATTGTAAATCACATTCATATAATTTCACGGGTGTAAACAGTTGTTCCAGCCTTGCAGCATTTTCTCTACAAACCGATGAGAAGTACAATAGAGTTTGCACATATGGGGAGAGGGCGTGGGAGGGAGTGGTAGAGAAGAGGGGAATTGGAGCAGAATATTGGCAAGAAAAAAAATCGTCGTCTGAATTTTCCTGCATTAACGCACATCCGTGCAGTGTTATATATCTGACCGAGGGACAGTTTGTATTTCTGAGTTAATAGAAAAGCTGTAACTAACAAGATTAACTTTTTTTTCCCGTGTGTGTTTTTTAAAAATTCATTCATTTTCTTCTCGTTTTAGGTTTGCCTAAACCTCTGTGCCATCGTCGGCCAGGAGAGAGAAGAGGGCAGGGAACCTGCTCACACACTCCACCCCCCCACCCCCACCAGAAAGCTTCCTATCAGCCTTGTGGGCAAAGCACCTCTGTACAGCAAGGCCAGGCTGGGCTGAGTGTTTGCCCAATCTCCAATCTCTCCACGTCATTTATTGCTGGGCAGACTGACACACTGCGCTGCCCTTTTACAATCCAAACAGCCAAGGAACAAACAATGCTTACTTGGTGAGATATCGATGTTGCAGCCTCAGACGCAGCAAGTTTGGCCATGGCAGCTTCCTGTAAAGCAAAAGGAAGGGAGGGAATTGTGAGCCAGATACAATGAACAGAGTTATATACTTTTATATGGCCTAGAACTGTGTATGTCAGCCTGGCTCAGTTGGTAACGCTCTCACCTCTTGAGTCAGAAAGTGCAGGGGCTTGAACCCACATCGGGACATGGAACACAAAGTCTAAGCTGACGCTCCAGTGCAGTGCTGGGGGGAGGGGTGGGTGGGGGGTTGAGCTGAGGTGTCGGAGGTGCTGACCTTCAGATGAGACGTTGAACCGAGGTTCTGCTGTTCAGGTGGACGTTAAAGATCCTGACGTGGGGCTTAACCCCCGGCCTTCTCTGACTCAGAGGGGCGGACGTGCCACCAACCGAGCCAGGGCTGATAACCTAATCGTTCACATTCAACCGTTTTCACCAGTTAAGTTAGCTCAGGATCGAGAAGGCCGAATCCAGGTCACAGCATTCAAAAGGATTGGTGAAAAGAGACAGCATTGCTTTCCTTGATCAGGTAAAAGCAAAGTAACAGTAGCAGGAGCTGAACGCTTCAATGTCAAGAGAGTTAAGTTTATAGATAAGAGACTGCCAGCCTTTCAACCCAGGTGCAAACGACTGTTTGTGGGGACACTGCTGTGCGCAATTAGCTGCCGCGTTTCGCCCGCAAAGTACACAGTCCATTCGCTTTACAGTCTATCTTGGGAAGCGCTTTGAGGCGTCTCAACGACTTGATAAGGAGCTTTTTTCAAATGCAAGGATTATAATTATTATTATTATTACAACAACATTTGGCGATACAGTATTGCTTGTGCTTTGCACACGTCTCTCTCCGCTGGCTCAGTGGATCAGATTTATCTGTCCTTTGCATTTATTGAAAACAATAACAACAGCAAATAAAAGGCCAGGGAGGGCTCCCTCACCTCTACAGTGAGGAAAATGAGGCCTGAAGAGACTGCAATCCACCCATTTGAATATGAAAGCAGAGCTTAAACTGTGTCTCATGCTTTCCTTAGCCAGCAGAGAAATAATATTATTAATAATAATAACCCTTGCATTTGATACAGCACCTTAGCGCATCGTGAGACATCTCAAAGCGCTTCACAGAATATATTGTAAAGTGGATCGACTGTCTCTTTGGGTGGGAAGAGGGCAAAATGCACATAGCAGTGTCCCCGCCACCCCCCCCACCCCCACGGCTTTTGTTGGCCCAAACCGGTATAACAAACAGCAGTCTGTATCTGTCGTGTATTGATTGTAAATGGTCGTAGAATTCCACCTTTTTTTTTAAAATGAAGGACATTCACGGCTTTCAGTGTCTTGTCTCCCCGTGCGATCTGCTAAATGAGTTTGTTTCATTCCAGATCAAATGCAGACAAAGGAGCCAGGAAAAACCCAGGCTTGAATCGGGCCCTTACATCAACTATTTTTCCCCCAGCACCGGATTTCCTGTGGGCTCCGTGCCCTTGTTATTAAACACCGCGGTTGGTGAGAGAGGGGAAAAAAAAACTGGCAAAGGAGATTCTTATTCATCGACTTGCGGAAGGGAAAGGCGACATGGATCTCTGCTCCGATGGTGTTCAGAAAGTATGAAAGGGGACGCTAGAAATAAAACGATCGTGACGGGAATCACAACTGCTTCTGACTCAGGGAAATGTCAACCTGGAATCCGGGAAATGGGACCCAAAACCACTCCAGCAGAAAACCGTGCGTGGCACAGGGGGAAAAAAAATGATTGGGTCACTCAACCCGCGACTGTTTGCGAGGGACTGCTGTGCGCAATTGGCTGTCCCGTTTTCGCCCACAACACACAGTCAATCCTCTTTGCAATACAGTGAGACACCTCAACGACGTGATGAGGCGCCATATCAAATGCAAGGATTATCATTATTATTCGGCCCATCGTGTCTGTGACGGCAACTTTTTAAGAGCAAACCTTTCAGTCCCATTTACCTGCCCTTCCCCCGTAACCCTGCAGTCGACTCCTTTGTTACAGTATTTATCTAGTTGTCTTTTGAAAGCCTTTGAACGGAAGAAAGCGCTATGTAAATAACAATATGGGCAGGACAGCGTGTGGCCTGGCTTGGTTCTTCCTGTGCTCAAGTATGGCCCTTGCTGCTGTCTTTCAGAGCGAATGGCAGAGGAGGAGGAGAGCAAGGGCGACAATAATGATAATAATAATAATAATATTTGCATTTAATATAGCACCTTATCATGTTTTCGACACGTCTCAAAGCGCTTCACAGGATACGCTGTAAAGTGAATTGACTGTGTATTTTCTGGGCGAAACTCGGCAGCCAAATTGAGTCACAGCAGGGTATCAGGTGGCCAGCTTTACCCTTTGTAACTTTGGGGTCTTCACTGCTACCGAGTGAAGCTTCTTGCAAGTCGTGTCACCATTGCCATATCTAGTGGGCGGATGGATGGATGTAATGCCATTTTCTATTTGCTACAGCGCGTTCTGGTATGGAGTCAACCGCTGGGGGGACAAAGGCAGTTTTGTGCAATGCACAAGAGTACACGGGGAAGAGCTAGACAAAGCACTATAGACTGGGTGGGTGGCTGCGCTGACTCAAGAGATGTCTTACAGTGGAAGCATCGATGAGTCAGACTGTTAAATGACCGGCGAGTTTTGACAGGTTCTAAATGCGGTACAGGTAGGGAGGTGGGTAACAACCGGGGCAGTGTCTCTCGTAACTGAAACAAGAGCAGGTGTCAGCCAGAGAGTCATTCACAGTGCAGCTGCCTGTGGAGCTCACAGCTGGAGCTGGGAAAGCAGCAGTACTGTGTGCGTTTGGTGGTGGGGAGGGGGGGAGGTGGGCATCGTGCATACAGCTGTTTGTTTAACGCGGGCAGGCAGGCAGCCAGAGCAGATGTTTGCTCAAAGTTCTATCTTCGGGGAAAAAAAAGCCGCCAACAGAAGATGGATCTTGGAATTTTTCTTATACGTATATACAGATATGTGGAGTCCTGTAGCTCAGTGGTTAGGGCACTCGCCTCGCAAGCGAGAGACCTGGGTTCGATTCCCGGCAGGATGAAACCTTGGGCGAGTTTCCTTACTCCACACGCCTGATAATAATCCCTCAAAAAAAGATATAAATAAAATAATAATTTGGTCACTCAATCCACGACTGCTTATGGGATACTTCCGTGCGCAATTAGCTGCCGCATTTCACCCACAAATATACAGTCTATTCTGTGAAGCGCTTTGAGACATCTAGAAGACGTGAAAAGCGCTATATCAAATGCAAGGATTATTATTTATTTATTATGCACACACCTTCACTGTGGCTGTTGTTAAATGGGTTACTGAATCCTGTGTTTGCTCACAAGGGGGAATGGCGATAACAGTGGTAATGACTGGGAAACAGCAGCAGGGAAGCTGACAGCACACAGCGCTAACGACTGCACTGCTCTGCGCTGCGAGTGTGATTAATCTAAACTCTGGAGAAACAAACGTTAATAATAAAAATAATAATGGTTCCTAAACGCAACGGCCTTACATCAACGACGACGACTTGCATTTATATATAGCGCGCTTCATGCCAGATAGCGTCCCGGAGCGCTTAACAGTGGCGGAATCTGACCTGCTGAGGCTGAGAGAATGGCTCGGGGACCCAACTGACCAAATCAGCAAAGGCACAGTACGTCCCAGCAGAGACAAATCCCACACAGCACAGAAGGAGGCCATTCGGCCCATCGTGTCTGAGCCAGATCTTTGGAAAGAGCTATCCAATTCAAGCCCACTCCCCCTCCCCCCAACACCCCGCTCTCTCTCGGTAGCCCTGCAAACTCGTCCTCCCCGAATAATTACCTGAAAAGCTTTTGCTGGACTTATATAAAAAAAATCCCCTTTTAAAAAAAATTGGGTCACTCAATCCATGGCTGTTTGTGGGGACGCTGCTGTGCGCAATTGGCTGCCGCATTTCTCTCGCAAAATACACAGTCAATTGACTTCACAGGATTATTATGATGATTATTATTATATTATTACTTCCAACTGCACAGCAGTGAAATGTGGTTGAGAACACACGGCTACAGGAACCAAATCTACAACGACCGCTAGATTTGTGTTCGATTAGATTGGATTTGATTTGAACAGCCGAGTGCTGTTACCTTTGTGTACGGTTTGCCATTGTCTTTCAGCATGGCTCCTTGCCAGGTCAGCAGGCGGGCACTCTCCAGAGCCAGGTCCATGTCAGCCAACTTGAACTGTGAACAGACAGACCCGAGTAACGTGCTCACCACAGACGGCTTCGGCAACAGCAGCAACAAATTACATTTACTCAGCGCCTTTCACGTCAGGAGGGATGTCCCAAAGCATTGGGCAGTCAGGGATCCGCACCCAAGCTGGTGGTTGGGATAAGGGGGGTGGAGGACGGGGAGGGTAGGGGTGGGAGGGACGACCAAAGACACGGTCGAAGAGGACGGTCTTGAGGCGGATCTTGAAGGAGGCGAGGGAGGGGTGTGAGGTGGAGGGACTGTGCTAACATTATCGTCAAAGCCACACATCGCTCGGGTTCCCCAATGGTTCGACGGGTCTATCCCGTGAATTCCGCGCTACACGGGAAGTCGGAAAGGTCTTGGATTTGGTTTCTGGTTGTGTGGAGACGGGGGTGGGGGGGGGGGGGGGAGATGAGAAAACAGGAACAGGAGGAGTAAGCTATTCAGCCCCTCAAGCCTCTATGTAAGATCATGGCTGATCTGTTCCTCAACTCTGACGTTTGTCTCAGTCATGAAAGCAGCAGGGGGCCCGACAATTAGTCCTGATAGGAAGGGATAAATGACCTCTATGAGGTCTCCTTTGGGGTTTCTTTAAAGGCAGCAGAGCCCTATGTTATCTAGTTATTTCTTATAGAAACAGGAGTAGGCTATTCAGCCTGTTCCGCCATTTTATAAGATCGTGGGGCTGATCTGTAACTCCAGTCCAGTTACCTGCCTTTGCTCCATATCCCTTAATACCCTGACCTAACATATACCTATCTGAACAATCGATCTTATTGTTATTCCCTCTCAGGGGATCAACCAAGTTGCCTTTCTCTGCAGCGTAACTGGAACCTAATGTTTATGCTGAGGCGACCAGAACTGTACAGAGTACTCACTGCAGGTGTGGACCAAGACAGGGATTGCCCAGCGGAAGCGCAACAGTTCATGCAGTTAGGATTTAAGTTCGGGCTGGAACACGGGTCGGGCGTTAAACCGTGTTGATGTTATCTCAGCCATTGAGACAATCGGTAAGTCCCCCAATTGTTTTGTGTGAAAGCTCACTGCTAGATGTAGAATTGCGGTCAAGTTTTCAGCAAAACAAGCGAAACATTTGCAATAGTGGACGGAGCGACAGGACCCTGGAATCTCAATGTGGTTCGATGTGGTCTTAAAGGTTTGACTTTGCGCCTAACGTTTACCTGTATGGCCTGAAGTTGGATTATAGGAGAGCCAAATGCCATCCGTTTCTGAGCATAATCCACAGCACAGTCCAGGGCAGCCTGTGAAATCCCCAGAGCCTGAGACGCTACACCTAACCGACCCGAGTCCAGGGTTTGCTGAAAGATAAGTTGGGAAAAGTTATTTTTTAGCCAGCAAGACCCGTTTGTCAACAAGCAGCTGGCAGCGTGTTAAACCACACACTGGGTTAGTTTTACCCGACCCACGACATCACCCTCCGCGTACTTTTACACCACATCTGCTGAATTCTCTCCAGGAAAAGATATGTTGGAAATTGCAGCGTTAGCAAGCAGACTGCAGAGACGAACTGAACGTAGAAAGTACAACACAACCCAAATGGACATTTACACAGCGGCTTTCAGGTCAGGAGAACGTCCCAAGGTGCTCAATAATACTGGCTTGGCGTCTGTGCTGGGGGAATGGGAACCAAAGTGGGTGGTGACCAAAAGTAGTCATAGAGGTAGGTCTTGAGATGGACATTGAATGAGCTGAGAGAGTAACCCTTTAAAGGACTCCTTTCCTTATTAATAATAATAAGTCCTTTCAAATACTACATATGATGCCCGATCACGTCATCAAAACACCTCCCTCAAAGGACTTTACAGGATTTACTGTAGTGTAGTGACTCTATATTTGGAAATAAAATACGCAACCAAATTGCACACAGCAATACCCCTCAAACAGCCATGAACTAAATGCTTTTTTTTAATTGCTTACTCCAGCTGCCTACAGCACAACACAGTCTTGGCTGCTCGTTTGCAGATGTGTCATTGCTAAAGAGCTTGTTAACTTTCCAGATTTCACCTTTACCCAAGCCAGCTGGATGCTAAATAACTAAATACACAGGAACGCGGTGCAGAATCACTCTCCGTGAGTGAACATCATTGGCACCTCACACAGGTACGATGACTCTTCTCCAGAATTGTTCTCGAGCGGTTTAATTTGGCGACACAACTTTATTTTTATATTATTATAATGGGCTGCCGCGTTTCGCCCACAAATATGCAGTCAATTCACCTTACAGTCTATTCTGTGAAACGCTTTGAGACATCTAGAAGAGGTGAAAAGCTCTATATCAAATGCAAGGATTATTATTATTACTATTAAATTCACTGCGCTAATTCATCTGTAAACCGCTTGGAGCCATTTATTCTGTATGAAGGACAGTCGATGAATGCAAGTTGTTCTACTGATCGGATATAAACTGTTGATCTGCATCGGCTACAGATACACAGTCAATACACTATACAGAGTACAACAATAACTTGCATTTTATTTGGTGCCCTTAACTTGGGGTAGTGTCCCGGAGCGCTTGTAAATCCTGTAAAGCGTTTTGAGACACTGAGACAGCCTTCTGACATGAAAGCCACTATATAAATATTTTTGGATGTATTAAAGGCGTGATATTTATTTGCTAGTGGTACCACAGTGCTATTATAAATCTACATGTCAGCCTGGCTCAGTTTGTAGCACAGAGGATGAAGCGAGTTCTTCCTGGTGTCCGGGTCAACAGACTAGATTTTTTTTTTAAAACGATCATTCAATCACGGCTGTTTGTGGGACATTTGCCACTCGTAAATTGCCTGTAACGTCCGCCTACAAATGCACAGTCACTTCACTTGGCTGAAAACGAAGTGGCATTCTTTTGACAGGATAAGGCTCTGTGCAAAAATGAAATGAATTGTAGGAAATGTGACGTTTCCTTTGGTGCAGGAGTTCACATCATTGCTAAAGCTGGGAAAGTTAATGAAAGCACACGTGGAATCGTGGAATCTGCAGCAACAGGGGAAATCAGGTTGAGGTCATCGAGCCTAGGCTGGTGCCACGAAGAGGGTGATGGTTCCCAACCATTAATCATTCTCTGGGCTTTGTGTGTACGTCACAAAGTTGCACTTAGCAAGGTGATCACTGGGTGTTGAATCAAAAACCGGTGTGGGTCAAGCTTCACATTGGGAACAAAATGCAAGATAAGGGGACGGAAACCTTCCATTCATTACCAAGGTTCTCCAAAGGAAGTTTAGGATAATAATCCTTGCATTTGATACAGATCCTGATCACGTCTTCGAGAAGTCTCAAAGCGCTTCACAGAATATACTGTGAAGTGGATTGAGTGTGCATTTTGTGGGTGAAACGCGGCAGCCAATTGCGCACAGCAGTGTCCCACAAACAGTCGTGGGTTGATTGACCATATTTTTTTTGAGGGATTATTAGCCCCTGGAAAGTGATCCACTGATCGACTAACAACCGGGTTCCTACTTACGTGTGGAGTAAAGAAACTTGCCTAAGGTTTCTCCCCACCGGGGGGGGGATTGAACCCGGTCCTCTCGCTTGCGAGGCGAGCTGCTAACAACTACACTACGGGACTCCATATATAAAATTTCCCCTGTGGTCTACTTTAAAAGCAGTAAACGAACTGAACGCTGAACAGTGAGCAAACACAGTGCAAGAGGAATCCAGCTTTCTGTGCTAAGGGTTACTATGGTGTAACTGTACAAAAATGCAGGCTACGGGTAGGTGAATTGAGCATTTCTGAATAGATCTCTTTCATAATAACAAAAATGTACTCTTTTTATTGCTTCACAGTGCCTATAATACTCTTTTCATGCTGGGTCTGTGGTTACATACAGTCAAATAGCAATGCGTGAGATAAAGTAAGCCAGCGCTATTTGACTGCAAACAATGAAGCCACTTATGGAGTGAGCTGAAAGTAACTGCTTTACACAATATTTATTAACCCTTCCAGACACCTGAATGGGAAAGTGCTCTACATCTGTGCTACATAACATTCCCTCGATAACCCTCGAGCTATACTGACAGCCTGTTCCGAAGCTGCCAGCAGCCGATGTAAACACAACAAGGACCCAGCACAGAGGCAAACAAAACAGCCACTTTATGTCTGAAGAGCAGAGTTGTCGAAAATTAAGTACGTCAGGAGAGACTTTGAAACATAATCTCTTCTATGGAGTTCTTAACATGCGTTGTTGTTGATCCATACCCGGAGATCATGATCCCCCCCACCCACTCCGGTCAATTTTATATATTGAAAATAATAACTTTTACACATTTTCTCAGGTCTCAGTAAACGTTGGCTGATGTGTTGCAGGTTGGCTAATATGTCAGCCAACACGTACTCTGCATTTAACCCAGTAAACTTGTGTAAAAGTTATTACCGAGACCTGGTAAGTGTTAAGAGTCAGAAGGTTGTGGGATCAAATCCTGGTTTCATGGGGCTTTATCGTGGTCTTCTTTGGTCTGTGCTGTAAATTGCTATGGTTTTATTTATGTGGGTTCCTAGTCCCAGCGCAGGACTTAAACCCATGATCTTCTGACTTAGAGGCAAGAGCGCTACTGAGCACAGATATATAACCTATAATTTGGTTAATTTCTTCAACTGCATGAACAAATTTATTCTGGAATACCTCTAAGGCACAGGCAAAATCGCTCGGACACTGAATACAACAACAACAAAATTACATTTGTATTGCACTTTTCACATCGGGAGGATGTCCCAAGGCGCTGGACAGTCAGTGTTTCAGACCCGAGTTGGGGGTCAGGATTGGGGAGGGTGGAGGGCAGTGGGGGGGAAGCAGTGTGATCGAAAGCCTGTGGAAGTTGACCCCAAGTCTGCGGATGATGTCACCAACAACAACAACAACAAAATGACATTTATAGAGCGCCTTCCGCGTCGGGAGGACATCCTAAAGCTCTGAACAGTCAGGTGCCGGAGGGAGGGGTGGTGTAGGGGTAAGGGAAGGCAGAGGGGTGGGAGGGAGACCAAAGGCACGGTCGAAGAGAAGGGTCTTGAGACCGGCCTTGAAGGATGCGAGGGAGGAAGCGAGGCGAAGGGACGGAGTTCCAAAGTGTGGGGGCAGAGAGGCTGAAAGAGGGAGCGTATAGATATTGAAGAGGAGGGGACCAAGGACAGAGCCCTGAGGAACGCCGCACGAGACGGTGCGGGGCTAGAGGAGAAACCATTTGTGGAGATGAAGTGGAGGCGGAGTGAGAGGTACGATCTGAACCAGTCAAGGACAGAGCCGTGAAGGTTGAGGAGAGGAGGCGGTGGATGAGGATAGAGTGGTCAACGAGCGGAATAATTTTTACCCAAGGGTATATTGGTAGAAGAACAAAGCCAAATTATACTGAAACTGAGCATCCTGTAAACCACACTCCTGTCAATCCATCTCGATTCAGTTTCTATATTTCTTGACCACTTCTCTTAATAATAATCCTTGCATTTGACACTGCACCTGATCACATCATTGAGATGTCTCAAAGTGCTTCCAGGATATACTGTAAAGTGGAGTGACTGGGTACTTTGTGGGTGAAACGCGGCAGCCAGTTGCACACAGAAATGTCCCACAAACTGCCGCGGAGTGAGTGACCAATTTTATTTGGGGAATTTGTTGGCCAGAACATCGGGAGAGAGAACCTGCTTTCTCTTTTCGAATAGTGTGGAGTCCTGTAGCTCAGTGGTTAGAGCACTCGCTTTGCAAGTGAGAGACCTGAGTTCAATTCCAGGCAGAGGGCGAAACCTTGGGCAAGTTTCCTTACTCCACACAGAGCCTAATAATAATCCCTTCAAAAACCAAAAACAATAATTAATTGGTCATTTTCAATCTACGACTGTTTGTGGGACATTGCTGTGCGCAATTGGCTGCCGCGTTCGCCCACAAATATACAGTCAATTCACTTTGCAGTATGTTCTGTGAAGCGCTTTGGGACGTCCTCCCGACGTGAAAAGCGCTATATCAAATGCAAGGATTATTATTATAGTGTCTCGGGAACTTTAACGTCCACCTGAATAGGGACTTTGGCTTAATGTCTCATCTGAAGGACGGCACTTCCGACAATGCAGCACACCCCCAGCACTGCAATGGAGTGTCGGCTTAGACTATGCAATTCCAAGTCCCGACGTGGGGATTGAACCCACAATCTTCTGACTCGAGAGGTGAGAGCGCTACCACTCTGCAAGGCTGACACACTGCCTCTTAAGGCTTTCCTCTGTGATCCATGAACATTAACCATCTCTACCTCCAACACCAGCCTCAGCTTCCATCATCAAGTGAAACATTACGTACATTTTCACATGCTTTGAAAA